GTCGTTGTCGGGTGAAAAAATATTTCCCTAACACTGTGTTGACCGTGAACTGGAAGTGCTGGGAGTGGCATCAAATGCTGGACAGGATGTCTGTGGCATATAGGCTGTTGAGGGTGCTGTACAAGTAAAATAATCTGTATTATTTCAGAGAAAATATAAGTTTGCATCTTAACAGTTGAAGGGTTTCATGACACAGGCTCTCTGAGAAATCTGACAAATAAAACTTCAGAAATAAAACTAATCTGTTCAAATCAAGATAAACGTAAACTCAGAAAGCTTCAGTTTTGAGTCTGGTTTTATTYGTTGGACTGAACTATTACTGACCATTTTTCAGACAGCTTTGAATCCAGTGTGTTTGCAGAGAATATTTCTGGTCTGAAGTATCAACAAAGTTGTTTCTTTTCAGTTCACATGTAAAGTGAAACCTGGAGGTGCACTGAGTTTGGTTTGGACTCATGGATGAACAAGCAGAAACACTTCAGGGTAGAGCTACAGCTTACAGATCACAGGTGAACCAACTTCTCACCTTTTCACACCCAACAATAAACTCACAGGACAGTATGAAAGATAAAAAGAAGAGAGACAAATAAAACAAGTGATGAAGAAAGCAAAACACAAAAATAATTTAARAAAACGAATTTCTGAAGACTTTAAAAGAGACGAGACATGAAACAAAAGCTGAGAAACTGACAAAAACAAAGCCTGGTGCTTTCATTAGTTCTGAGGTGTGCAGGACGACATGCTGACAGGTGAGGGGGTGCACAACAACTCACCTGCTGTCTGTGTCCAAACCCACAAAGTCCTTCTTCTCAAAGGGAACRCACAGCAGAGGGATTTTATCCCCAGACTTGTCAGTGGCTCGGTCCAGCCTCTTGGACTCCAGGACTATAAATATGGACTCTACGAAGTCCTCCACCCTCCTCTCCACATCTGAGCAGTGGTCAAAGTCGGGGTAGAAGGCCACGTCTGTGCGCTGCTGCTCTGCGATGTCCCCCTGCAGCCCAAACACCAGCAGGCGCGAGTCGTACAGACTGGAGCTGTACACCTCCTTCTGTCCGTGGAAGCGCTCCGTGGTCTGGGGCCAGTCCTTGGCCGAGGAGCACGTGGTGACGGCWATCAGGCCCACCACTTTACGGTGGGTCTGGAAGTCCCCCCAGTCGTTGTTCTCGGGCAGGTAGTGGTGCCGGTAGCGGATGTAGAGGATGCGCTGTGAGTCCCTGATGCTCACCTGGCTCACACTGGCAATGCGCTTGTAGATCCTGAAGAACTGGTCCTCAGGTACGATGCCAACAGGCTGGACCACCACCAGCACGGTCTGGTGGTCCTCAGCACACTGCATGTAGTCTGGGATGCTCATCTTCATCTACACCTACATTTGCAAGTACAGGAAGTTAATTTTGTAGCACTGTTCACAGATAAAATTATATTCAATTCAAAAAATTTATTCCTTTCATTAAAAACAAAATAACTATATACAAATTAGAAACTAAGGAAATACACAAATCAAAAAATCTAAATAAAATGATCTCCCACATGAAAGTCCATGACATAGACCATTAGACCAATGGAGCTGTGGCAGTAGGTGGTGGCAGGGGTTGGTTTGTATGTGTGCAGAAAGAGGCCACATTGCCAACACAATTATTGACACTAAACTGCATAATATTACAACAATAGAGCAGTTTTAAGACAATATTATAGTAAAACATCAAAATACAATCACATTAGTATTGTAAACACTGAACTACTGAGTTAAAATATTAAACTATGGTGCAGTATCAAGTTGAGTACAGCATGGGGCAGTATTGGACCAATACAAGGCTCCATTG